ATTCAGCTGGGTTGTTAGTGCCAGTAACATTTAAGCAACTGAGGAGAGAAATACAGAAGAAGCTTGCAAGCAGTATTCATTTACTAAACTACAGAAAAGGGACCACGAAATGCTATCAGTATGTCTCTATATAGGGAATTAATTTCCATGGCCATTTGTAGATTTCCTAATAAAGTCTCAAGAGCATTCTCCTTAAATGCAAAAAGGGATAGAACATTTTGTCTGTAGCCATATGTCCATTAGGCTGAAAAATTAGAAATTCATCTTGTTGTTTATAAATTCTCAAAATTCAAACCTGGATTTTGTTTAAATAGGTCAATAAAATCTTCAGCAAGCAACTAGAACAAATCTTATGATGGTAGACGCTGCTTCTGTGGCTGTAGCATTGGTTACATTCTTGGCTTACTTTTTAAAACATCGCTTTAACATCTGGATTAGGGATTACAGAGAAGGCAATGTTTCTGTTTTCTCTGTATTGCGATATCTCACTGATTTTGTTTGGAGCAGAAAATATAGCAGTATAGATGATAGCTTTCCCTTCAGTCAACTTCAGTAAGAACTGAGGATGACACATAAATTCAAGGACTTCTACTGTGGGAATTATTTCAAGCATAAGAAAACAATACAGTTGTTCACATGAGGGTTGGGTATCAAAAATCCATTTGCATTCAGGTTTGCGCTCAATCTTATAGCAGTCTTTTATTTCTGTTTTCCTGATATATTTGTTTAATCTCTTGTAGATAATTAACATTTTTTTTTCCAAATGGCTAACTTGAAATAGAAACAGCCACTTGGAGTGAGAATAAGGTAACCTCAGAAAAACAAGTTTGGTTTTGTTGCTGTTTTTTTTTGTTTGTTTGTTTTGTTGTTTTTTTTTTTCTCTTGAACTACAATTACAAGAAAAACATTGACACTTGGCAAATTCTACTGTCTTTATCTAGAACAGTACAAGTAAAATTCTGTAGAGTGCATTAATAAATTATATTTATGATGAGTGAGTAGCTGACATTAAGAAATTCAATCCATCCACAGAAACCTCTGTTTTATATTTCATTTAGTAGACAGCAATCAAATAAAGAAAAAAATTATCACCATCTAAATCAATGTTGTATGTAGGAACGAGCAGAGATAATTTCTTAATTGGTGAGAAATTTAAACAACCCTAAAAAAAAGCAATTAACTGTATTTGAGTAGGCTTTTTAAAAAAAATATATTTATCTCCTTGAACAGTGATGTGATGACACATAATTCTCAATACAATGTTTACATGAGAAGTTAGCCAGAAACACAAGAAATATCAAAATTTTTATGAGGTGATAACATTTTAGAAGATAAAGCTATGCATATCACCCAGGGGATTTGATTTTTTTGCTTTTCTCTTCCCAAATCAAATATGTACAATCACTAAAACTTTGATGGTTTATATTAACTTATTTAGCAGTAATGAAGGCTTGCTTTTTCCAGCTGGAAATCAATCAGGCATTGACTCCAGATGTATTTTGAAGCAATAGAAATATGGTAATAAAAATTCAAAAAAGCATGAATTGATTAAATAAAATACAAAAAAACTTACAATAAAATTAAAATTTCTTGGACAATATTTCCAACACCATATCAACTTACTTGTAGATACTTTAGTAGAATTTCATAGATCTTTCCAATTACTTCCAGAAGGCTTCCTGACATGTTTCAGATCTGTATGTAAAACTCATAAAATCACCTCTGTGAGAAAAAGCCAATGAAAGTATTCTAGCAAACAAAATAGATAATGGCATCCATGGTAATTCTTTCCCAGATTTTGTAATGCCAAAATCTAAGTACCTGTTTAAGAACACGTGCCTTCAGATACATCCAACAGAAGCATTTTGCATTTCCTTCACTTCCCTTTTCATTCCTGTTGCAAATATACACATAGAAAAATTAAATTGATAAAATTTAACAACTTAAAAATACTGTGAAGACTCCAGAGTTTTTTTTATCTAGAAAATATATCTTAAAAATAATGATAATAAAAAAATACAGCACAGAAGAAACACTTTTTCTTTGTACTAATCAAGAAAGATTTTAGGAGAGATCTTAGTCTAGGAAAGATCTAGACATGTTCACCTGAGCTTGATACTGAATTGAAGTACTAGGTAGTGTTTCTAGTCAGACACTTGGATTAGCTGCACATTATTTACTATATTCCAACATACAAATGTGGAAATGCAAAATCATGTCAAAAATAGCCAGCAACTCCATAGAATGCATAATAGTAATCAGATTCTGAAATATTTCATCATAACTTGGAAGCCTTCTTTTTAAAGCCAATTTCAAAGAGTTGTTTCTCTCTTCCTTTAAAATAAATTGTTTCTGCATACATCCAGCCATTTTTATCTTAGATAAATTGTTTTAAGCTCATTGGTAATATCCTCAGTGAAATATTTTACACCATGATAATTTTATATACTTAACGTTTAGCATGACCTTTCTGGACAATTTCAGGATGTACCTGGAATGTATACCAAGTACTACAAGAAATATAATCTTCTTTTCCAATCTCAAAAATGAAAGATGAACTTTTGGTATGCTAATGAGAATGTTATATAGTCTTCTTGTGGTTTAATATGGCAGGCAGCTAACCACAGAGCCATACACTCACTCCTCTCACCCAGTGGGACTGAAGACAAAATCAGAAAAATAAAAAAAATTGTGAACAATTGAATGTCATGGAAAAGAAAAGGAAAATAATAATAATGATAAAAGAATATACAAAACAAAAAATGCAAAATGCAATTGTTCAACACTCTTTGACCAATTCCCAGCCAGTCCACAAAAAACAACAGCAGCCCAATCAACTCCTTTCAATATTATTTGTTCAGGATGACATCATATGATATATCTGTTTGGCCTGTTTGGGTCAGCTGTCCTTGTTTTGTCTCCCATAGTCTCCTCACCAACAAGGAGTATGGGAAGTTAAAAATTCCTGAGTTAGTGTGAGTACTGCTCAGAAACCACTAAAAGATCAGTGTGTAACCTGAACTTAACCAGAAGTTACTTAACCAGAAGTATTCTCATTGTCAGTTCAAAACCCGGTACCATATCATCTACTAGGAGAAAAATTACCTCTATCCCATCTGAAACCAGGACAAGGATATAATGGACTAACTATTTCTGTGAGTTTTTATTATTATTATTGTTATCATTCTTGATTATGCTTTCTCTAGCAGCCACTAGCAGATTTTTTTCTAATGCATTCTAAGATAGAAATGGCTTAAAATTAAAATGAAGAATGGAGAATGATTAGCAAAGCCTATATTTTGAATATTAATTTATATTATAAATCATATATTTGTCTGTAACTTGTCTTGTATGTAAAAGAAATCATTTGTCCATTACTGGCTTACACTTCATAATTTGTTAATTAGATATTTGCATCAGGGTTCAGATATTTCTGGTGTTAAGAAATACATTCATCATTTATTGCCTTAATAATATAATACCTTTCTGTAACTTCCATAGAAACAGTAAATACAACAGAATGCATTTGGAACTAACCCAACCAATAACATTGGCAAAGCACTCTCTGAATATTTTTTGTCATTTCTATCACATATTTTTGTAGGGACAAATATAGCATCATATATCAGGTGAATTGCTTTACAATATTGCATACTTTATTTTCAAATGCCCGATTATGAAATGGAAAGTTCTGTTAGAATGCACTGTTGGGTGTTTTTCATTAAGTGCAGAAGCGCTTCAAAATGAATAATCAAGAGCTGCTTCTATTCTCAGTTTTCTGTGTTTATTAGCTAGCATCTCATTTAAGAATGGAGATTTTAAAATGCTCTAGAGAGCCTTAAAGTTTTACAAGGCCAAAAGCAGCAGACACAGAAGTACTCAGCAGGTCTTGTCACTGTGAAATGAGGAAAGTGACTGTCAAACTCTTTCTATATGCCACAAAAGAGATCTGCCTTTCACTTGGTTTCCATCCTCCAGTTTAAGAGGATTAACAAGAAGAGGATGATGGAAAACTATAGAGGTGGCTTTCCAGAGAACCTGTGCAGTAGGACTGTGGGCACCTTTCCAGTCTGAAATACGAAGATTGCTCTGAAAGTAATGCCTCCTATTTTGTGATATTGGCCCACAATCTGAGAGAAGGATGGATGTTGGTGGTAGGCATTGCATTTCAGCAGCACCAGCAGCAACTGTGTATCACCTTCGCTGATGCAGATTTTTGCAAGAGCAAGCATGCAAGCTCTTGTTCATCACTGGCTATAGCTAATGGTGGTAACTATGCTGAAAAAATATATATATATTTTGTAGCTGAGAAGTTGCTCTGTTAAATAATGTCATTGTTCTCACCGTATCTGATCACTGTAGTTACCATTGAAGTAAACAGGAGGAACAACCTACACAGATTTTAGAAGAAATAGGAACTTGCAGCAGTCAGTGAAGAGTGAAATTTGAGGAAATTATCATTTACTGAAGGATCATATGAGAAATGAAAGCTTTAAGTATTAATGTGAGAAGTACTCTTCCTAGCTCTTTTCCTTTTTGAGAGAGACTTTGCCAAACAGGAACTTAAGATTTTTGAATCTGAGACTTACTTGCAGGGATGTAACATAATTTGGGTAAGTGGTATACACCTGAATTTCAATAATGAAAAATACAGCTGTTTATTTACTTATTTAAACTGAAACATGCTGAAAAAAACAATAAGTAAGCATTTCTAAGTAGCATTCTCATGGTAACTAAAGTTGAAATCTCACTGAACATGCCTATACTTTGTTCAAGAGGCAGAACAACGACAGTCTTGAAGTCTGAAATCATCTGCTATACAGAAAGCAAATCTGGGTAAGATTTAGAAGGTCAGGAATTACCTAACACTGAAAACTGGCAGAATAATCAGGCTCAGACGATGATGATCAGAAGCATAAATTCCAGCTGGAGACCACCAATTAGCATTCTATCCTAGGGGTCAACACTATGTCAGTTTCTGTTGAATATCCTTAGTTATTGTAGCAGTGAGCAGAGAACTTTCGAGTAGTTGCTCGTAGTAACTAGATAAGAAGTAGTGATGTAAGTGCTTGCGTATGATAAGAGGGGCGTAGACGAAGGTGTACAAGGCTATATAAACTGTTGTCACGAGTTAATAAACGCCATTTTACCACCCACCACATTGGTGTGCACCGAGGTAGATGGACAGACCGAGATGTCCCTAACGATTGCGAACACCTTGATGAAGCTGGAGCGGGCTTCCGGCTTCAAGTTATGATCTCAGTGATGGGAAAGAGTGTAACTGCAGCAAGTTTGCTGATGATAGAAAACCAGGAGGATTGTTTGTTATGATAGAGGGCTATTCTGTCATCCAGAGGGACCTTAATGGTCTGGAGGAATGGACTGAAAAGGTGTGGTGGTTTAACATTGGTAGATAGTTCAGTAACACCACATTGCTCTCTCACTTCCTCTCCTCAATAGAACAGGGTGAGAAAATAAGATGAATAAAGCTCCTCTTCTGTATGGATTTTTTTTTATCTTCCTTATTTTTTCATTTCCAAATTTATTTGTTTCCTCAGAAATGTGTCAAATATACCTAGTCAGCAAGTCAGAGTCTGTATTTTGGCAACTTGAGAAAAAAACTGATGAAACTATTCAAGGGGGAGAAGGGATACAGGGGGAAGTTACGCAGAGAACAGGTAATCTTCTGTTCCAGCCTTCAAATAAAATGCTATCAATTTATATTTCTGGGTGAGTCATGTTCTTGTTGTTGTTGTTCTTCTTCTTCAGTTTATGTTGACTCTGAAATGTAAAATTTTGCCATGTTATACTGTAAATTTTTTGTTGCTGTTGTTTCTTATCAGATTTGCCTTTGTTGTCACCTCAAGTTGAAAGGACTTAGCTAAAAGTAAGTGTTTAAAATAAGGATTAAGACTTTCAAAACCACAGTGAATGAATGCATGGTTTCTTTCCTCACAATTTTTCAATTTTTGTGGTTGATATTAAGTATAATGTACTGTCATAACTAAAAAGTGTATTCCATATTGAAAATCTTTTCCAGCTAAGCACTATTGTGAATCTCATTAAAAAACAACAACAACGACAACAAAACACCATTTTTAAAAATATTCTATAATTAAAGTAATAATATCTAGTACAGTGTCTAGAAATAAGATGTCTGTCAAGTCTATAAAACAAAATCTTCTGACTTGCTCAACTACTTAGGGTGAAATAAATCCTCAGCAATGTGTTCTATCTTCATCAGCTGCTCTTATATTACAAGTTGTTGAAGGCATCCTGTGACGTGCCACAGTGCTCTTCATTAGATAAATATTGTTCTAGTTGTGTATCTACTCATATTTTCTCCACACTACATTGTTGTCATACTTATATTTCATATTGTTGCCTTCCTCTTCATCTTCACTTTGACCACAGAAGAAGTCATTGTGCGCATGAAAAATTGCAATATCTTAAGGATGCTAGAAAACACTGTGTTACAAATGATATCTCTCTGTCTCAAAGGGATTTCTGTTTCCCACATCTTTATTACAAAGTATTAAGCAAAGCTTCTTCTTTTCCAAATACACTTATTTCTATATTTTTCTTTAAGTGGCTGTAAAATTTCTATACTTCATGAATGAATGTTCTACAGATGCAAAGTCAATGGAAATAGAATTATGAATTTAATAGGTAAATTTTTCATCTTGAATTTGCAAAAACTTATTATGAATACCTTGAGGATGTGTACTACACATACTTTTCATTTATATAGCTAGCAGGCAGAAATTTTTAATGAAAATATGCACCGAATTGACCATTATGTCTGAAGAAAATAGTCACCTCTGTCTTGAAGTTGCTTTCTTGTGCATCAAAGGAAATGCAACCCCTGCAATCTCCAAGAAATGTAAGGAAAGAGATAATTATAATTCATTAGAATTCTTCAGCTACCAGAGGTGAAGCTGGAGAATATGTTATTATGTGAAAACATATTTTGAAAGTGACCTAGTGCTAAAATAAAACATAAAATACAGCTTTTTTTTTTCTCTTTTGTTTGTTTGTTTGTTTTCTTTCTGTAAAAGAAATGGTTACAAACTTACAGTGATATTATTTGATACAATAAGATAGATTACCTTCTAAAATTCTGTTTCCTTTTAAAAATTTAAAATTACAAATTTTGAAAAGAATTGCATGCATCCAAGTGTTTGAAGTGTGCAAGCTCTTTTTCATATCAGAACATGTGTCTATATTAGCACATCTGTGTTAAAAATCTTACTCTGCTGAATACTGACAATACGAGCTATCATAGTCCCCAGCTATATGTATATGTTCCAACTCTAACAGTTAAGGTCTATTTTATTTATTTGTTTATTTATTTATTTTCCTTTTGGATGTTCCTTGAATTCTTAGTTCTATCTTAGACGGAGTAAAGGTAAGAGACCATAATTAACTCAATCTTTGATTTCCAGTTGTGTTCTTCGGAACATGTCATTGCAATTTGAGTAGCAGTTTCCTCAGTGCCAGGAAGTGAATGGGGATGTGCAATTAAAATATAATCCAGTGCACTGATGCCCACACTAGTTCTCATTCTAATCTACTCCAAAATAAAATGTGAAACCATGGAGAAGTTTGCAACTCTTCAAGACAATTCATTATCCTTCATATATGAAGCTACTGACGTGAATGAACTATATGCAGACTGTAGATAAACACATCTAAAGTAAACATATGAGTTCAGGCTATGCATTCTTCTATGAAATTCAACAATCTGCAAATGCAGCTTTTTGACTAAAGAGCTCTGCGCACAAGGGTGACCGTAAATAAATACTTAGACACTTCATTTTTAGGATTGTAAATAAACATTTTAAAGTAATGCATTATTCATCATTACTTCTTAAAATATTTAAGATATTTGAAAAGATAAGGCACTGTTTAAGAAGTAAGATTCAACTTGGGATATATATGCAATGAGAATAGAAAGTATATAGAAATCACTGTGCCCCAAACACAAGATGGAAAAAACAAAACAAAACTGTTTGCACTATTTCATTATACTTTCCAAAAGCTGTCATATCACTTTAACTATACAGTGAAGATTAAATTATCTGATGAATTCTATAACACAGAAGCAGTTGTAGATCTTGGTAATGCTATGGAGGGAAATCCAACTGAAATTTATGAGACTGAAGAAAACATATTAATATCTTACTCCAGTAGTCAAGGATATAACAAACATATTAGGACTCAATCAGTGTGCTTTACACATTGACCATGGAATATGAAATCATAGTCACTTGGTCTTTGTGTTCTCTGTGTCAACTTAAAACATCTAAAAATGTTTAGAAGAGAAAACTGCAATAGATGATTTGATTTCCATGGAAAATGAAATTCTGTGAAGTGTACTGTGGTCTGAGGCAAACAGATGTTCCTGGTTTAATTAAGTATTAAAAAAAATATTCAATTCCCTCACTATCCCCCCTTTTTTTAATACTGTACACACCCTACAAACATGCACATGCACACGGAGAACCTCTTGACTCCTAAATCAAGAGGAAGGCAGATTTATCTGCCACTATTAAAGGATAAAATACAGCAACATGTATTTATATATAAATACACTGTTTCTATGGAACACATGTAACAATACATAGGTGTGTATAGAACACACTTTGACAAAAGTTCATATTCCATCTTGTGAGAGAACAAGCAACATGATAAATATATTATTAATGTCACTTAATATGATAGTGGAAGAGTGGAAGATACTGGTGAATGCTATAAGAGAACTAATAACAGAGAGATAAAAATTAGAATCTGCTTTTATAAAAAAAGGAGAATATGGGTCTGTAATTAAGACAACTGACAGCTGTAGCATGAAATTCATGACACCCAAGATGACCAGGGGTACTTCCTGCACTCCATTTGCTTAGAAAAATCTATCCCCCAGAGCTTACAGCTGAAAGCTATATAAAGAAGGTTACTTCTTCAACAGTTGAGAACTTCTAACACATTTGCAACAATTTGTGGATGAGAACAGAACAGGTTTTTGTTGTAGTTTTCTTGTATTGTTTTGTGGCTTTGGAATTGTTTTTTTTTTGTTTGTTTGTTTGTTTGTTTGTTTTCTGCTTGCTAAGTATTTGACTGGTAGATTTGATTTGCTTTTCAAACTCTGCTGTACATTCACCAATGTCATCAGAAAACATCACTTTTTGAAGTGCAAATATGTTTAAATGTTTTAGAAGGCTGTAAGTAGGCTGTTAAAAATAGATGATGCAACAAAATGAACTGGACATATCATGCTATTTCAATGATCTCAGACTCAACAAAGAACACAGGTCTGAAATTCAGAAGAAAAAAAATAAAAAGATGATAGATAAGATTCTCCATTTCAGTGTTTTCAAGAAGTAATATATCAAACAGATTAGGGATTTAGTATCATAGATATTTTATATAGCAACTTTCATTATATTATAGCAACATTATATACTAATTTCTCTATGCTAGATAATTTAACAGTTTACAAATTATTGGCAGTACAAGCAGTTTATAAATTCTAACAGTAATTCTTTCCTCCACGTGTACCATTTTGCCATTTCAAAATCTTATCTTTTGAAAGATGTTCAGTGTATAATACCTGCACTGGTTATAAGGGCTGAAATTGATGTATGGATAATTGACCAGTTACTTCTTAACAGAAAATATTTTGCTGATCACGGCCAATTCTTAGAATTAGTAGAAGAAGTGGTGCTAAAAAGTATAGAAAGTCATCGTAAACCTGAGATATCGATGAGCTTTGCTTTCAGAGTCTAAGATGTTGTGCTAGAAAAACTTGCACTAACTTCAGAGTTTACTTTTTTGCCTCTACTTTTGCAAAGATTCTTCAACTAAAAGTGAAGTTTCAGTCTCAGGACACTAAATCAACTAAATCCTGATTTTCCCTGGAAATAGATTTCAGCAGTAAGCTAAAGCTGATAAGATTAAGCACTTTTTTTTTCAGATGATGCTCACAATGTTAAATAAAAAACAAGAAATAATGTAAAAAATTCAAGACTTGTTGGAGACTATGGCAAAGCAGATGATGGTACTAAACATATTTTCCCACACTCTGAAATTCAATGAAATGCATATCAGGAAGCAGAGCAAGTAAATCTTTCTGATCATGTTGATATTTAATTAGACATTTGAAAGGTTTGTTGTTCTATGCAATTTCCTTACAGATAAATGTTTGTTTGCATATTTGTTTGTTTGTTTGTTTGTTTACTGATAGAATAATGAACTGCTGGTAATCTAGTTATCAATACTGTTAAGTTAGGAAAAGATGTAAGACTTATGTATAGCAACTGCTCTGTTTAAATATTATATAAGTTTTATTCAGTTTGTCTGGAAAAGAAAACTAGTGAGTATGTAACTTGAAAGATAATCTCTGCAGTCAATAAATAATTAATGTATTATTCATGAGTAGTTTAAAAAAGAAGAATGGTAAACTGACTGAAAGAACTTTATCTGCTGCTGAAGCAAATAATCCTTTATTTTAAAACACATCGTTTACCTTCAAAATCCAAGTTTCTTTTTCATGGAAAATTGATTTTCAAAGGAATTGTCTTCAGTGGAATACAGTTCCTGGAAATTCAACAATTTCCCATTACCTTTTTTTCTGAATACATTATCTCTGAACTCTCAGAGCATCCACAGTCAAAGTCATGCAGGAGCCGGGGATGAGAAACTGGGCACTCCAAGCTCACTGCCACAAAAACCCAGGACTTTCCAAATGTGCTGGGTGATTTACTGGGTGATTTACTGGTGATCTGGAAGTCGTTGTGGGACTTTCCATGTTTCTAGACAATATCTTTCACAGATTTCTAAGAGAACTAGTAACCTAGAGGCCCACTCTTTAATAGAGTAGATCAAAATCTAAGAACTTAGATTTTCAGGTTTCATTAAGACAATTTTTGTGTAATTCACTTTGAATAGCATAATTCAATAGCTCACTAAGAGAACATTTTTGCATTTTTTCTTGGTAAAATATGGAATCTAGTTCTTTAGTATTTTTTGTTTTCCTCCGCAATTAAAATTTTGAGTTCCATTATTTCTTATCTGAACACATAACAAATCTATGTGCAAATATTTAAAGTGTATAGCAAAAATGTACCTTTAATACCAGTAAAGTTTCATGGTAACTTTATAAGTAATAAAATGTTCCTCAAATATTTTCAATAAAATAATACAATTGTGTAATATTTAAAAGACAAGAGACTGTATTCTATATAAATCAAAAGTAAATGTTGTCTCCTAATCCTAACCTATAACAAATGAAACAAATTTTGATCTTTCATTGGAACTGAAGTGCAAAATTGGAGTAATTATTCTGACGACAAACTTAGATCACTCTTTAAAAAAAGCTTGAATTTGACCAAAAGGGGAAAGATGAAAAAATACATACCTTCTAAAAATGTAGTAGATTGATAGAGAAGCTATCAAGAAGATATAGAGTATTTCAGAGAATTAGCTATAGAAGCTATAGAGTGTTTCAGAGAATTAGGTTCAACTTTGATCTCAAAGTAAGGAATCTGTAATCAGTTCACATTTAATGGACAATTGTGAATTGTTAGAAAAGGCTGATCAAACAGCAGAACTAATTTCTGCAGTTCATTAGCATGAAAATAGTATTTCAGATAAAATTAATGGAAAAAGGAAGCCAGATATTAATAGATATATTTACATCTGTTGCAAGCATGGTACAAATAACGAATTAGCAAACAAAGTGAAAAAATCCTCCGGTTTTTTTAACCGACTCTTCACTAGACAAGAAAGACAGTTTCCTCTGTAATACCAAGAAAGAAGAAATAGAATCTGTCAGTCATTAAAATGCAAGGTATATAGCACTGTGGCTGTCTGAAGATGAAATTGGATTTCTCTGTCTGGGCTCTTCTGATTCCCTTTTATTCCACAAAGTAAATTGCTTTGCCATAACTTAGTATTTAACAGGAAAGGATTCAGCTGGCACTGGTATTGCTAAAAGCTTATTAGGAACCATACAATGCATTCTCTACTACTGAAAATTGTGTACTGGAAGACTAGTTTTGTTTGTTTGTTTGTTTGTTTGTTTGTTTGTTTTAATACATAATTAATTTCCCAAATATCTTTTTGCAAGTTTGTCTTCTCATTTATTTTTATTTTATTTTATTTTCCCCTGCCTTTTAGTTCTTTTCATTTTTTTTTCCTTCTGAACTTTTCACATTTATTAACAACTGCTTTATTTCTATTAGAAACAAAAATATTGGAAACTGGAGATTACTGCATTTTGTGATAGAAACTTGCAGAAGAACTTTAAGCTAAAAAAAAATATATATTTGCCTTCATTTGATCTAGTATTCTCAAGAATGTTAGACTCTATTTCAAGCCTGACAAGTATATTGTTATTTGCTTATTACTGTACATTTATATAATAAACTAATATCCTCTCTGATGTTATATGTGTCTGTACTGGCATCCTGTATATTCAAGAATA